AGAGAGAGAGAGAGAGAGAGAGAGAGAGAGAGAGAGAGAGAGAGAGAGAGACGAGAGTGCGCGGATGCGAGACTTGCTACTAAAAGGAACAGGAAATGGAGATTCTTCGCTACCGATAGCGTTTACTCTCAAGGATGAATGCGATGCGATCAAGCGAATTCGTCGCGTTCCATTGAGATACGCGGTCCCGTATCTTGAACTCCAGAAATTCGCTCGTTCGGTCAACCAACTGAGACCAAATTCTTGAGGTTTATTGCGATGACGACGACAATACCGATGACGATGAGGATGTCGCACGCGACCGACTCATCATATCCTTCAATTACGCGGTTTTAAATGAGCGGCTGCGTCGTGCCGTGCCACGCTCTCGAGTTAACGCCAATTTCTCTCACGTCAACAACTCTTTTCTTCTCGGCTGATCTAAGTTAAGTAATATGCGATGCCGCAGTTCGAGTTCTCCGTTGCGTTTGACGGAATTATAAATAGATACTCGCGCCTGTTAAAGATGTTGCGCGAGATGCTGGCACGGTCAGGTTTAAATGTCTGCACTGCTGTCGCTGGCTTGGACCGCTGCTGATGCTACCGCTGTGTCTGCTTATGTTCCTGATGTTGTTGATCGCGTTGACAGGTGCTCGTTCCGCGTATCTCGCACACGCAAGGAAGACGCAAGGAGAAGAGAGATAGACAGGGGAAAGAAAAAGGTAGGAAGAAAAAGGAAGATGATGAAAGGAATCAGAGAATGTTAGCGTGTTTGATTAAGCAGAAGGAGAGAAGCGTTGAAAGTAAAAGCGTGAGATAGTAGGAAGACAGATGAGGTAAAGACGGAGAGGAGAGGGGGGGAGAGAGAGAGACAGAGAGAGAGAGAGAGAGAGAGAGAGAGAGAGTGAGAGAGAGAGAGAGAGAGAGAGAGAGAGAGAGAGAGAGAGAAAGGGAAGAAGATTGGAGCGTAAGCGAGCCGATGCGCCTGTTATTGATTGGCAGCAGTGGAGACCAGCGGGAGAGACGAACTCGCGCACTGTCACGCCGGCAAGGTAGACTGCTGAAGGCTATCTTCGTGTTAGCTTCTCGTCGATTGACCGCTTGGTATCCTGCCAGAAGACTCCGATTGAGCGTTAATCCTTGTCTCCGTGAAATCGGTTGTATGGAAAAACTTTTTAGGAAGATATTAGTTTAAAGAAGAGAATTTATTGGAAGTCATCGATGATTCCTTGCAAGATTTCGGACGAAATGCAGTTTGTGCCGTTTTCGGAGCATATAGATGTTTTTTCGTAGAAATTCTGTCAAAAGTGAGAGCCGATAAATGTGATATAATGGAAGCGACGCAGGAGTTTGTGGATAAAAATAATCTTTAAAGGATGCAGTCTGAGAGAGATATACCCGGAATATATGGAAGATCTATATTGATATTCGGATACACTGCCGCGATTGATCGCTGCGATTTTTTTTCCCTTGCCTTAATTGGTTAATGTCATGCGTGTCCGGAACACTTATCACTGCTATGTTCACGTGTTATATCTTATCCTTATCTTTCTCTCCCTCTCTCTCTCTCTCTCTCTCTCTCTCTCTCTCTCTCTCTCTCTCTCTAGCTCTTTTTGACTGTTCGATGCGGCGTTTGAAGGCGTATCCGGTATTATCGCGTGTCCTTTCCTCGCCGCCTCTTTTTCCGCACAGGTACCGTTCGCCCTCGCTCCACTTTATATGCCTCCTCCGTTATTACGACCGTACCGACGCGGGCAATGGTCGGAAGAGCTACCGAGGAAGCTTTAAAGCTCCACGACCCGCGAGGTGCTATCGTCCGGAGTTCGGCCAATATGGCGATTACACGCGCTTACACGGTGCCTTGGCCACCACTGTCTGCCTGTTTCGCGGACGATTCCAGCGACGCCGACGCGAAGCGCCGCGACGCGAAGCTACCTAGTGCTCCGCAGACGCCGCGCCGACGCCGATGCTGTTACCATCACAGAACGCCGACTCCGACGTTGACGCGATGGTCGAGCCATCGGCCGATGTATGAGTACCGCAGTGACGGCAGTGGTGTTCGTACTCGTGATCCGTGCTTGCGAATGACCCGCTGATATTTTACATATTATCTTTCGCTATTTGAAACGTTCCCAGACAACATATATGTTCAAAACCAAGATATAAGACATCTTAGACATTTTTAAGATGTCTTAAAGAGATATCTAAAAATATCTCTAAAATATCTTAGTCTAGATCCACAATCTTACTTTAAGAGGCCGTAAGCCGTAATAAATCATAAGTTGTAAGTGATATATTGATTAGAAAACTTATGCTTTTAGGCCGTAAGAGTTGGATTTTGCTCAATTCGTTTAAATCTAACGATTAAAGACTAAAAACTGCAAAAGCAGTTCAAAGACAGAAATTAATGTCACTTAACCTCTCTCTTTCGACTTATGGCTTAAGGCCTTTAACTATAATTCGCTACGATCGCAATTGTATAAAGGATGAAGGAAAAATCTATATACATAATCCGTGTAACTGAAAAAAAGATACTTAAAGTTTATTTATGAGATATTATATCAAGAGAGACATGGTAGTATCTCGCGCCAAGTGAATGCGCAGCGCGAAATGCACCGTGCTTCTTTTAAGCGAGTCGGCGAGTTGCGAACGATTGAGAGTATTGGATCTCAATAACGATTGAACCGATCAAATTCTACGTACGCTCACGATAGCCACCACTCAGATTGTGTAATAAAAATGCTTTTATTTTTTTTCTACATGCTCTATGAACGGAGATATCGCGATGCAAAATCTAAAATATAATATAAAGTTAAGATTCAGATATGTCATCGCCTCAGATTTTGGTTTTCTTTTCATATTTTGCCATTAGATGACACATCGACACAATCTTTGCACTAGTTCGGACACAAATTTGACATTTGACAGCATATTTCACGTTGCCACTTGTATGACGCTAAAGTTAGCGGCCACTTCTAGCGGCTACATACGAGACGCCAGGAGCGAATAGCAGTGCGGGGCCCCCGATTATAAAAGATAGAATTTATAACGTATTTCCATAAAAAATTCGTTGAAAATAATAACTCATAATACACGGTGATAAACGAGACAAGATTAAGTTAAAAATATTGAAAATAATAAGAAAAATACATTATAAGGTATATAGTATATACATAATATAAAAAATATTAATATTATGCTACAATGTTGTTTAGGAAAAAAAAAGTAAACAAACAAACCTTTTAGAATTTTTTCCGAAAGTCTATCATCATGCGTGTAACCTGTGGCCAATGCGGCCGCTTATAATTGTTTAACATTTTTTAAATAAACAATGAGGACGTGATGTTCAAAATTATTGGGGAGATACAGAAACTAATCCGAGATACTAATCCGTAATACTAATATCCGGAAATACTAATACTAGATACTAATAGATACTAGATACTAGATACTAATACTAATACTAATATCCGGAGATACTATCCGGAGATACTAATCCGTAATTACTAATTGAAGTGGATTACGGATAGAAAACATATTTTAAAAATTCGAAAACTTAATTCGACAACGCTTCAATGAATAATTTCTCGTTTACTGGGCAAAATATTTTAATTTATTATTAATATTTTTGATATAAAATGTATAATATAAACTACTTTGTAATTAATTCCAATCCAAGTAATGTTTTTGAAAAATCATAAAAATAAAACCTAAGTAATACATAATCCAACCCAAGTGATATATGATGAAAGTGATATGTGGTCGAAAAAGTTATCTTTTTTTACAAAAAAGTAAAAAAAAAGGCGCCAAGTGTGTACGTGCTCGTATGTGTGCTCCTTGGAGAGGAAAATAACTTTTTATTTCAAATCTGCTTTCCAAACTATCAAATAATTTTTTTCAAAAAATATGCTACATCAAATGAAGAAAATAACTATTTATAAAAAGTAATAAAGAACAATGATAATTTATAATTTAAAGAAAATTAAATTGTAATCAATTAAAATTAAAAACACTTTATAAATAATAATAAATTAATGTGAATATTACATAGAAAAGGAAAGTATATTCTCAAATAGAATCAGGTATTTAAAAAAATTATGACCAAATAAAAATCAAAAGATTTGTGATTGAGTAATATCGAGTAGATAATATGCAACTTACATTTAAAGATGTATATCAGCACCTCGAAGTTAATGTCATTGTCGTAATATTTTGCTAAGGTGTTTATTCATGCATTTTGTGTCTATATGTAAAATTTTAAGTCGATTTACGGTACCGTTTTTAAGAAAATAATTACAAAAATAATATTCCGTAACACATGTTCTTATGATAAACAATGCACACATTGCCCATTTTTGGAGTATAATATCTCTCATAATAACAAGACCGAAATAAAAAACATATTAATATAAACTAGAATGTCCAACGAACACATAAATTACAAAATATAACAAGTTTACCGAATAATTTAAGAAAAAAATTGATCCATAATACCTGAATTTTAGGAAAATATCATTTCTTTTGATATCTGCCTTCTGAAACTTGGCAACATGTACAACTAATGAAATGCGCGCGTAATATGATTGTAGATCATTTTTTTTAGAAGCATATCTTTTT